TAAAATAATAATAGCAAATCTTAACAGATGGCCCTATGACACTGTCCTAAGTAATTTACATTGACTCATAACAACCCCATGATGTTCATACTGTTATTTCATAGATGAGGAAACCAAGTCCAGAGCCTCAAGTCCAGAGCCAGACACACAGTTGGTGAGACTAGTTCAAGGCTAGAAGAACAAAGTGTAGCAATTCTGACCACCCACAAAAAGAGATGTGCAGGTGGGGGTGGGGTTGGAGAGTGGAAAAAGAAAAGAAAAAAAAAAAAAGAGATGTGCCAATCTGTGGAGAGTGTTCTGATTTTGATCTTATACCAAAGCTTTCTTACGTCTTTGCCTTTGAACTTGCAGGACCTGCTGGATGAAGCTTTCCTAATTGTGGGGGGATTCTTTTAGAGAAAGCATCTGTTGGTATACACCACTTACCTTCCCTGTATCTGCCGGGACAAAGAGCAGCTGGCATGTGGGCGGGGATGAGAGATGGTGGTATCACCACCAGCACAGATGTACTCATCCTCCTCATGTCCTCTGGCCTAGCTCAGGCTGCTGTGCTGGAGCTTCAGTCTTTTCTGTTAATGGTAATTAGAACCTTTCAGACTCAATTTCTTATGTGAAAAATCCCAGTTCACTTGAATTGTCTCCTTGATCCAGTTCACCTAGAGATATTTAGCTCCTACAGTTTGTTTGGGGGGGGGGCAAACTCTTAAGCCTTCACACAGTATGGTTTATAAGATCAAGGTGCTGAAAATGTTAGCTTAAGTTCTGGAGCCAGACTGCCAGTTCTACCTCTTAAGCATGCACAACCTGAGGTTTTTTGTTTGTTTGTTTGTTTGTTTGTTTGTTTTGTCTGTGCAATGGGGATAACTAACAATAGTGAATATTAGATGAAGTGACAAATGTAAACTCCTTAGAGGAACAGTGCCTGGCCCACAGTAAGTGCTCAATAAATGTTAGCTGTTATTAATAGTATTATTAAACCCTTTCAGCCCTCAGCCCCACTTCCTTCCCTCCTAGCCTGGGATCTTGCTCTGTCAAAACAGGTCCCTTCCTATCCCCCAGGCTCTGGACCCTCCTCTCTTCACTCACCAGGTTATTTCATCTCTCAAAACTTCCATATCCTTATCTGTGGAATGGGACCAGGAGACTACTTCATAAGGTTGCTGTGAAGGTTAAGTGAGCTACTTCAAAAGCTGAGCACAAAGCTCAGAGACTGCTCAGTCTTATTACTGTTACTGCTGGAGCACAAAGGGCTGCCCAAAGGGCCTTTGAGATCTTGGAGAGAGCTCTGAGAGCCAAAGGGCCCAAAGTAGACCAAGAGCATTAGGATTAACTAATGCCCATGTTTAGCTCAAGAGCTTCATCATAACACTGTGCCTGAAACAGAGGAGACACATGGTAATGTTAAAAGAATGAACATAGCAGAAGACTATCCAAAAATGGATTTGGCTCAGGCAACCTGACAGAGAATTTTCAAGGCAGATCACTTCTAGGTGTTGAAGCACTCAAACTCAGCAAGAAACACTTTCCTCCTCCCCTCTCCTCTCTTCACCCCAGGATTTTTTTTGCCCCCAAGATTTTTTTTTTTTTTTTTTTTTTTAGACAGAGTCTCACTTTGTTGTCCAGGCTAGAATGAGTGCCGTGGCATCAGCCTAGCTCACAGCAACCTCAAACTCCTGGGCTTGAGTGATCCTTCTGCCTCAGCCTCCCGAGTAGCTGGGACTACAGGCATGCGCCACCATGCCCGGCTAATTTTTTATATATATATCAGTTGGCCAATTAATTTCTTTCTATTTATAGTAGAGACGGGGTCTGGCTCTTGCTCAGGCTGGTTTTGAACTCCTGACCTTGAGCAATCCGCCCGCCTCGGCCTCCCAAGAGCTAGGATTACAGGCGTGAGCCACAGCGCCCGGCCCTGCCCCCAAGATTTAAAAACAAAACCAAACAACTCATATTGTTTGGTGTTACTAAATTCTAAATATTCTGCTAAGTACTTTATAAATGCCCTCTCTTTTACACTTGACTTCAACCCTGAAAATTAGGTATTAATTATTCCCATTTTACAGCTGAGAAACTGAGATTTAGAGAGATTAAGCAGTTTGCCCAAGGTTACATACCTGGTCAATTGCAGAGCCAAGATTTGAACCCTAGCCTGTGGAGCAGGAAGGGGACAGCTCCCACATGCTCATCAGTATTCTGACTGTGGAACAAATCTCACCACTTGTCCTCCCAGTACCCACTGTACACCAACTGAGGAGTGTTTCCAAGTAGCAGATGCCTCTCCTTTGAAATCATCCAGCCTTGATATTATCTTGACACTACTTTAGTAGAATTAGAACTACTCTCTTCCACAATTAAAAGTTGTTTATTTGCTTGTATTTTCATTAGTCTCTTTATCTGACTATCTTCCTTGCTTAACATTTAAGAGAGTGGAGTTCCAGAAGTGGCGAGCGGGATGTATTCTGTTTTTAGTATTTTTAAGAGCCTTTTTTATTATACAAAGTGATTTTTATAAAGCATTTTTCTGTCCTTGGTAAACAAGTATTATATCTGAAATGCATGAGTTAGAACAACATCAAGAACCTAAAGAAGGCCTAGAGTCTGTAAACCAGGGGGCTAAGATTAATCCCTAGAATTGTCTTTCTTAATTAAATAACTCTCTCTCTTTCTCTCTCCAGACTTCTCCTTTTTCTTCACCCTATTTATATTCCCAAGGATATTTTGTAGGTAATTTGGGGGATAAATGTGAATTCCTGTGAAATACTTTGACTCCCCCTAAGAATGCCATCAGAAACATCTACCAAAGTTTAGCCTAGAAAAGCACTGATGATTTAAAGATAGAACTTTCTTTATTAAACTCCCTGTCAGAAATCACTCCTCTTTCGCTATGGGGAGTTCTGGAGTGGGAACACATTAGATTCAGTGGCTTTTTTCCTTTCCCTTTGCCTATCCTGTTCCTCACCCTAAGTCTTTGAGACCATGAGTAGCTATTACTCCCTCCCTTGAAGAACAAGACCTCCTGCCAGGCCGTGCCCGAGGTCAGGCAAGTGAGGAGAGGAAAGTGCATACCCCATTGTGGCCAAGAAGGCAGCCACAAAAGCCATATTGATCCTTTGACCTACATTGACGCTGAGTCTGTTCCTTTAGTGTCCCTGACTTTGGCAGTGTGGTTAGTCTAACTTTGTGCCCCCACCTTGAATCCAGCTTTGATGAAAAAGTAGTAGGAACTCAGGCCCATCCCTAGAGATTTGGGGTTTTTGTCTTGGAAAAGCATCAACCGAACTAACAGGGGCAGGAGATTTGGATTCCTGTGGCTTGGGGTAACTTGGGTCCAAAGAAACCAAGTGCCTATGATCATCATCTTCATTCCCCAAATGTAGCCGTGCCCTCTGGATTCCCTCCTTTCACCCATTCTCCTCCCAGTCAGTTTGGCTTCAGAGTGGATTGTTCTTGCTTTAGTCTTACCATGTCCTTCTGTGTTTGAAATGCTTTGATATGTGGTAGTATATGGTACTACTTGCAGATTGCTGCTACTTGGCTGATCTAAAATCTTTTGGCTTTAGTACATGCAGTAACAAAACAACTTTTAAGCATCAGTGTATTTCTTCTCCCTTGGGATACTATAAACCTCTCTGAGATTTGCCTCTCTGGGTTTTCTGCCGGACCACAAAGCCTCGTCCTGGCTTATCTCTCCCAAAGCATTGCTTGTGTATATCAGGACTCATTTGCCTTGGTTGTCTTAACTGTATATCTTGGACTTTGGTCTTGGCTTCCTGTAATAGGATGACCAGATTTGTGTGCAGGCATCCAAAAGTAGCCAGCCTGCTGCAATACTGGATGACAGAGTAATAAGGTCTGTGGGTTTCTATGCTATACTCTTCTCCTCCATGCTCTGCAAGACTGTTTGCCTTAGTACTGCTTCCAGATTCTGTGGATGGTCTTTGGGCATCTGGTGGTGAATGTTCCATGCCAGAGAATTTTAGCAGATTTAATCAGCTTTGAAACGACCCATTCTTCCAGATTTTTATACAAGGAAAACCAAATTCAGAAGGCTGATAAAGGTTCCTCTCCTTTTTTTTTTTTTTGAGACAGAGTCTCACTCTGCTAGAGTGCCATGGCGTCAGCCTAGCTCACAGCAACCTCAAACTCCTGGGCTCAAGCAATCCTACTGCCTCAGCCTCCCGAGTAGCTGCGACTACAGGCATGCGCCACCATGCTTGGCTAATTTTTTCTATATATTTTTAGTTGGCCAATTAATTTCTGTCTATTTTTAGTAGAGATGGGGTCTCACTCTTGCTCAGACTGGTTTTGAACTCCTAACCTTGAACGATCCTCCCGCCTTGACCTCCCAGAGTGCTAGGATTACAGGAGTGAGTCACTACACTTGGCCTAAGGTTCCTCTCTTGTTTCCTCTCTCCACTCAACCTTTTCTCAAACCAGTGAAGCCCCTTTGGTCAGAATGTAACTGGGTGCCTCCCACCCAGGATAGCTTTATAGAAATATTGATCTTTTTTTTTTTTTACTTTGTTGCCCAGGCTAAAGTGAGTGCCGTGGTGTCAGCCTAGCTCACAGCAACCTCAAACTCCTGGGCTCAAGCAATCCTGCTGCCTCAGCCTCCCGAGTAGCTGGGACTATAGGCATGCGCCACCATGCCCAGTTAATTTTTTTTCTCTATATATTAGTTGGCCAATTAATTTCTATTTATAGTAGAGACGGGGTCTCACTCTTGCTCAGGCTGGTTTCAAACTCCTGACCTCGAGCAATCTGCCCTCCTCAGCCTCCCAGAGTGCTAGGATTACAGGCGTGAGCCACCACGCCCGGCCAGAAATATTGATCTTAAAATCTCACCCCTGGAGGTTAGTGGCTAGAACACCCTTGACAGTGACTCACCTTGAAAAGAGCAGCTTTACCAAGACTAGGTGTGAAACCCATGAAGTGACCAAAAAGAGAACAGTAACTTGAAATGCAGAGACCTAATGTGTTCCTCTCCATTTCCACTTCAGATTTGCTGACCATGAAAGAATATCACTGTTTGCTGCAATTGCTGTGCCCTGATTTCCCACTGGAGCTTACTCAGAAAGCAGCCAGGTACGTTTCCTACACTTTTGAAACAGACTCAGCTTTTTGTGGGCCACGGCTTCTTAGAGAAACTTGAAATGTATACAACTGAAAAATAGCCATTAGGGAAGATATTGGCATTTGGAGAAGGGTGTATTTGGGATTTTCCCCCAAAATGTAATACTTTCTACATTTCTAAAGGGAAGTCAAGTGATCCTTTGTGGTTTTTGTGGGGAGCCTGAGGGTCTGAAGATAGAGTTGGAGGATAGTGAGATGAAGATGCAAACAAAAAAACCAGTGTGTGTGTGCGCGTGCGCGCACACACACACACACACATATCCTCTAGAGGATTTTCTGAGAAAAGAAGGGGCAAATGTTGACAGTGACTTGTGAGGAAGAGGCTTGAGGTTGGGGACCAGAAGGGCGTGAAGGTAATAGAGCCCCAACTGAGGGAAGGGCAAATTGTAGTATTTATGCTAAATAACATTTTCAAGATTAGTCCAGAACCAAGACTTGGCAGAAATAGTTAGAAGCCCCTAATTTCTGTGTTTGGTTTCACTGTCATTCACATTTTTAACCACATGAGGTAGGTGGACTATGCTTCAGTTCACTTTTATTTACTTAACACATAACTGCACTAGGTTATAAATGGAAGTATAACAAAAATTTTGTTTTCTGAAAAATGCCCAACTTCCCTAAATATATTGAATGCATTTACCTTCACTGTTCCATTTAAATGTATTTGCCTTAATCATCTCAATCCTTGTAAAAACTGTTACTTCCCTTTACAATAATCCTTTGTGGTTTCTATGGGGGGCCTCAGGGTCTGAAGATAGAGTTGGAGGGTGGTGAGATGAAGAGGGAAAAAAAACTAAAATAATATACACAACAAAAACCAAACAAACCCTAGAGGATATCCCAAGAAAAGAGAGGACAAGAGTTAGCAGTGACTTGTGAAGAAGAGGGTTGAGGTTGGGGACCAGAACTGCATGAAGGTGATAAAGCCCTGGTTGGGGGTGGGGAGGGACTGTTACTACAAGAGGAAACAGAGGCTCGAAGGGGTTAACTATGTTGCCCAAATTTACTGACAGCTTGTAAGTAGCAAAGGCATGACTTGAATCCAAGTCTGCTGCAGTCCAGACTCAGGGAGGCAGGGGTATGAGTAGACTCTCAATCTCCCCACGATCCTGCCTCCCTGTGCCGTGGCATCATTTCTGTTTTTGTGGTTTGATCCACTAAAACCAAAGCTGCATTGATTGCACTGCACCAAGGATCACCCTACTCCTCTTGAAATGAGCCAGCCAACTCCTTTGGCTGTCTTGGAAGGTGAGAAATCCACTGCTACCAGCTATAGACACCCACCTCACACTGGGGCAGGATGTTTTGCAATACACAGCTCATGAACTAATTTTGCTCCTCATGTGCAAAACCTGTTTTAGTGATCCAACATTTTATAGGATTTTTTTCCCTTCATTATTCACTGGATACTTATCTTCCCAATGGCAATTGCTACTGGTAAAAGCTGTAGTTCAGGTTTTATCATTTTAACTTACCTGCTATCCAAAGGAGATTTGGATTTTTCTTCTTAGCTGAAAAAAAGCATGGGAGATTATCTCTTGTAACTTAAAAGTGGAGTTAACTTCAGATTTCCATGATAGTTTCACTTCAGGCTCAGATCATTTTAAAGAAGATGCAGCCCCAAATTTGGAGGGGGGGACTCAGTATCCTTAAAGACTGAACTTAAGAATGAAAGTCAGCTATGCCTCTAACTAGAGAATTTCTAAATAAAGAAAAGGAACCATAAGTTTGAGTGTGTGTGCCCCAGGAGGGCAGGTAGGATCTATTCCAGTCTTGTTTTCTGCTGAATCACTGTCACTTAGTGTCACATAGATACATGCTAGACGCTCTATAAATATCTGCTGAATGAATGAAAACATGAATGAATGTTCCTTATCTGGCATTTTACATGGTTCTAATAGCCCATGGTTCTAAGTAACTCCAAGAACAAGAGTCAGCAACTATATCCTATATTAATTTGTTCATTTGCTTATCCATCAAGTATTTCTTAATGGCTTTTGGGGGTACAATTCACATACCATACATCTCACTCATTTAATGTGTAAAATTCAGTGACTTTTAATATATTTCCAGAGTTGTGTATCTATTACCATAATTTTAAAACATTTTTATTACTCTAAAAAGAAATCCTACACCCCTTAGCCATTATTCTCCAACTGTATAATATGTGGTCCCTTGGTACTAGTTTCCTTCAGTCAGCATGTTTTCAAGATTCATCCATGTTACAGTATGTATCAGTGCTTCATTTTGTCAAATATTTCTTGAGTGCTGATTTTGTGCCAGGATCCAGCACACTAGAAATGCAGTCATGAATAAGATATAGTTCCTGCCCCTCAAGGAACTTGATTTAGAAGGGGATTGCTTGGGTACTGGTCACTGGCTGCCACTTCTTTGTGATAGGTCACCTTAGTTTCTTTCACTCCAGAATAGCCACCGTCTGCTTTTCCCACTTCTGAAAGGTACATGACAAGCGTATGAGAGTGAGCCTTCTATGTGATTCTTAAACACAAGCAGCCACAGTTTTGCATTTGCCCCACCTTCCTCCCCAGATCTTTCCAAACAATCTTATACCTGTAAGCTTTGCAGGATTAGAGTGTAAGTGATAGAATCCTGTAAGAACCACCAATTCTTGACACCAAGGTGTAACTGTACTTGGTACAATTATTGATAGCAAGGGGCTTCTGGAGTGGCATTCCTGTGTTTGTGGCCAGAGGCTTACCCACTCCTCACCTAAAGACCTATTTGATAGAAACCTCAGACCCTTCAGTTTGAGGAGGAGGAAGCATCCTAGTCAGTCCGTGTTAATAGCAGTGCAAGAGAATTGAGGGAATGCAAGTATAAATAACAGAAGTCCACGCGGTACTGGCTGCAAAATTAGAGAAGAATTCAGAATTAGGGGACTATTTATGAGCATCAAGCTTCTATGTCAAACCACCTCCTCAATACCATTCTTTCCCCACTCCACTCCAGCTGGTATGTATGTGGAAAAATCAGATACATCCCAGCAAGTGCCTCCTGATTGTTTAAGCTATTCTCATTTTGTCCTGAAGGTCAGGATCCCAGCTTCCACACACATGCCTAGGTATCTGCCTCCAAGGCAGTGACTATTGCTAGAAGAGGAACTGCCCTCTCCCATCTCTGCCAGGCTTACTTTATTCAGGGCCCTGAGGTCTGGGGACAGGCTGCTGAAGGAGGCTCCAGTCTGTGATGTGTGCATAAAAGAATGTAATCCACAGGCAGCTGTAAACCAGAGCCTGTTCAGGGGCATGGTGTCTCCACACGCGCCTGCCTTATGTGCTACAAGCATCATGGCCAGGCCCTGGGGCAGCAGGTGCGAGCTAGAAACACAGGAAAGGAAAGAGCAAACAGACTGCATGATAGCAGCCCAGCCAGAGATCCCCTCCACCTCACACATTCCTGCAGCAATTGTAGGAGTTAAGTAATTTTATCCCTAAATGACCACTATAGTGTCTCTATCTCTCCAGCCTCCATGGACTGGGAAGCTTTCCTGATGGTTAAGAGCATGCAGTTGAGCCAGACTTTGTGATTCAAATCCTAGTTCCACAACTTACTAGTTTGTACTCTTGGGAAAGTCATTTAATATCTTTGAGCCTCTGTTTCCTCATTTGTAAAATGGGAATAATAATAGTTGTAGTAATTGAATAAATATATGATGTGCTTAAAATGGTGGCTGGCACAGAGTAAACTTGCAATAAATGTTAGAAGTAGTATTATTGACTTAGACCTGTAGGAACACAGGCACCATGGCATTAGGAAGACCTGGTGTACATTCCAGCTTCACTCCCTTAACTGGATGACCTCAACAAAATCTCTCAACTTCTCCAAGTCCTGTATTTATATCTGTAAAATGGGGATAATAATAATAGTAACCAACTCGTAGGGTGTTCGTGAGATTTTTACAACAAAAAATATATAAATTTCTTAGCACATTGTAGGCATTCAATGAATATTTTCTTGCCATTATAATAATGTTGGTATTATTATTACTGTGTTTCCCCAAAAATAAGACAGGGTCTTATATTTATTTTCCTCCAGAAGACACCCTAGGGCTTATTTTCAGGGAATGTGTTATTTTCCCCTCAAAGCCTCAGCTTGCAGCACGCACAGGATGGCCAGGACCTGACGGGGGAGCCAACCTTGGTGGGGCTGCCCTCACCTTTCCCGTCATCGCTGGGATAGTAGTTGTCAGGTGGGGCAGATGAGAAGGGCTGCTCCTCTTCTTTACCGCTCCGTGATGAAATGCATGGGTTGTGCAGATACGCTGCGTAGCCACGCCCATTGCTGGGTCTTATTTTCAGGGTAGGGCTTATATTGCACAAATGGTTAGAAATCCTGCTAGGGCTTATTTTATGGGTAGGTCTTATTTTCAGGGAAACACGGTATTACCAGATTTTTAAAAAATAAATGAGAAGTTCTTGGATTCCTAAAGGCAGTGCTTTCTGGCCCTTTTTCACTTCACAGCACTCAGAAAATAATATATAACAAAAATGTCCAGTAAAGCAAGACTGCTGGTGATTGGTCTGCAGGCTCTGGCCTCCTCCCAGCTGGGCCAAGGAGACCATCACACCTGTAAACCACGTGAGGCCCAACTGACACAGTGTTGGGAAGCTGTGCTCCAAGGGTGAAAATTTAAAGCAGTGGTTCTCAAATTTGAGCATGCATCAGAATCACCTGTAGGGCTTGTTAAACCACACATGGCTGGGCCCCATCCCCAGAGTTCAGTAAGTTCAGGGTGGGGCTCAAGAATTTCTAGTTCTAAGAAATTCCCAGGTGATGCTGATGGCCTGGGAACCACACTTTGAGAAATACTGATTTAAAATATTTCCTGCCAGTTTCATTCTGACATTTTAGAATTGGCTGGATTAAAATAAATTATGGCCAGGCGTGGTGGCTCATGCCTGTAATCCTAGCATTCTGGGAGGCCGAGGCGG